ACCTCTTGTTTTGATAAAACAAAAAGCTTTGGGACTTAGAGAGACCTTGGATTGTTGTAAGCATGCTATTACTGTTCACACACTGTGATCCCATTAAAGAAGACAATTATATTTGTTGATTGCTACTTTTATCACATTATAATCCCCCCATGAACTAAGAGTTTTGTGTGTGTGTTAGTGTGAGCGTGGTCAGTGGATAATGCTCTGCTGGATCCATTTTCACCTTGCACATGCTCAGATTCTCTTCACTGCTGCCCTTCTCACACATACTCTGTAGGTGACAAGGTGTGGCTCGATACAACCAACCTTCATCTTCTGCACCCAAAACACAAACTAGCTGACAAGTGTACTGGACCATTCTCAATCGTATCCAAAATAGGTGCAAGCATCTATAAACTCAAACTACCAAACACCTGGAAGGTCCATGATGTCTTCAACAAGATGTTACTAATGCCCTATGTCACACCTGCATTCCCAAACCAAGGACAGCCCCCCCCTCTGCCACCTGACTTGATCGATGATAAGGAGCACTACGAAGTTGATCAAGTCTTACACTATAAATTATGCAAAGTCAAAGCAAAAGGGGGAGGTACAACAACAACTGTGGACTACCTGGTCAGCTGGAAAGGATATGGGCTGGAATCCAATCAATAGGTTAACAAAAAGCTAATGAACACTGATGATGCCATTCATGACTATGAATTATCTCTAAATTAAGCCATTGGGATGATGGTCTTACTGAGGGGGTAATGTTATGATTTATCACTCTTTTTCTTACTTTTGACCCCTATCTATGCTTAGTCAAGGCACTAGAGCAGGTGCTTAGGACTGTGAGACAAGGCTTGATCATCACAAACAGCTGAGTCAGTCATTGTCTTTCAATGCAACAGTGTTGCCTGATGACACACAATCATCCTTTTATAAATGATAGTGATGGTCAAGGACAAAGAGCACAAAGGACCAAGCAACATACAATTAGTAGTAATATATTTAGCACAGGACTTGTACAATGTTTAAGAAGGCTCACTCTTGCTGGTAAACCCCAGCTTTGAGCTAAAGTTTATTCTTACCTCTTCATCTTGAGCAACCTGCAAATGTCTTGACTGCATCAAAACCAGTATCACTGAACTTGATCATTGTACCCAAAGATGAGGTAGCAGTCATTTATCACATGTTACTAGTCACATGTGACTTGGGCCTAACACTCAATGATGCACAACAACTCTTTTGTAGACAGTAGTGATGCCCAAGAACAATGGGCACAAAGACTCAGACAGACACAATAAGTAGTATTATATTTATCTCAATGAACAAATAGTATATAAGTAAGCTAGCTCTCACTGTATATCTCCAACTTCAAGCTAAAGTTTATTCTTACCACTTCATCTTGAGCTGACTGTCTACAGGCCTTGCAGCTTTTGATCAACAAACACATACAGTGAACTCTGATGTGACTGTATGAACTCAATACAGCATCAGTTTATCATGTGTCCAGATTATGTGCAACCTGAGCTTAACACCTGAAGAGGAGATAATATCATGATTTTACCTTTAAATTGTGATCTGCCAATGCTTACCAATCCTGACTTTACAAAGGATGACAATGCTATGATGACACTATAACTACACCTTACTCATTGGCACACAACAGATGGGTGAGAACAACACAACAACAGTCACTGTCTCATGTCTTTGTCATAATAAGAACTGCAGCATACAGAAAACTCACTATAATGATGGCATAGCAGAATAATAATGACAAACAAAAGCAAGGGCACAGTCATTGTCATCTAAATGATGAGTAGGAGACATGGAAATCAGACAATAGTCACCTGTAGGGCAAAAGGTTCTCTTGACAGTATTTAAGACAGTAGCATACATCAATGTACTCCAGTCTCAAGCTAAGGTTTAATAAACCTACTACACACTCTCTGATTACCTGGTGTGAGTACCCTCACCAAAATGGCAGACTATCTCTATCAGCTTCACTCTTTCATACTCTTAGCACACATTATCATCACTTATCTCATTATCCTCATCATACTCTTATACCAACAACAAACCCTCAACCAGAACCCAGGATCAGACTCCAGCAGTAGCAGTGCCAATCATTTGTCAGTGTTTGATAGAAGCATAACAATAAGATTAGATAGTCACAATTTAGGGGCAAAAATCATGACAGACCTGGCAAATATAATGGGATGCAAACAATTCATACTGGAAGGCTCTTTTAGGCAATGAAAGCCAGGAGGACATGCTAGGATCATGAGAATCAATACCAAGGAGAAGAGAAGTCCATCAAGGATGCAATTTCATTCTAACAATGAATGTCATTCCCTGCTAGCATTCATGATCCCCCCAACAAAAATCTCCCAATATGATAATTATCTGTTTCCTGCTGATACTGAAGAGAGGGGGAGGGAAATTGGCACCAGGTTTGTTAAACTTCAAGTGAGACTATTATATGGATACTAATCAAGCATCAACCTGGATACCTTTTTCTTGAAGCCAGCCATTTTTGAAGCCATCTGTATCATTACTCTGAAAATTTACTTATTGATACAGCTATCATGTTTTGTAGAGCAACCATGCTATGGCATGTTCACTACTACCTATTAATTTGTGATTGAAAATGGCAAGACAAGAATGGGACCATCTTGAGAGTGTGACAGACATAGCCATTTTGGGTTTTGTTGCCTGCTATTAGGGTGTGTTCACCTGAGAAATATTCTAGCAACAAAAATACCATCACAATCCCTGAGTTTTTGCTCAAAGACAGACCCTAACTATAATGATCATGATGGCAGTAACATTCTTCAAAGTCCACAGTTGCAGAATAATAACATTCATTTGTGCCACCTTGTTGATGTCTTATAGATGCTCTATTTCTTGCTGATATATTTGGAAGATGATGTTCATTTTGCAATGAATTCAAACAGCTTTGCTTCATCTGCAGCAATGGTCATCTATAGACAATGGATAAGCAGGATATTGTGAATAGTAGACAGGAAATACCCACCTCCCATAAGTCCTAGAGGTTGTGATGCTTGCTCATTGAATTCTCCTGTCAATGATATAGTCAGTAACCATAAAAAGTATTGGGCACAAGTATTACTAAATGATGGCCTGGTATTCTGCCAGTGGTGTCATATTCTTTGTATTAAATGACTCCTCAGAAGCATGCTGGGCCATAACTTGGAGTGACTGAAACATCAAATCAGCTGTTATACACTTTTCCATGGCTTGACTGACCTCTGAATTGATATTCTGTTAGCAAGAACCAATGCATATTATTGCCTGCTCACTGATCATGACAGGGTTCATTCTTAAACAAGATCAGCATGAAGGGACTAATAGAGTGTGATTGCTCACCTTCAACTGTAAAAACAAGGGTGACCAGCCCCTCCATACATTTACCTCATCTTTGGGCCTGGAAACCTTCTCTAGCAAAGATAAATTGTGCAGCAACAGAGAAAAAAAAAGGTGCTGTACACACTAGGCATGATCATAGATACTGGAGACTTGATGCTATGAATAGCATAAATATCTGATAACTAATACATGAGGAGATGAAAAAAAGTTCACAGTCTAGAGCTAGATACCAAACAAATGCCATCTGTGACAAATTTATCACCAGCCTCCTTCTCCAGTTGCCACTGAAATCTCAAGGCCCATGAGTAATATCTATCTGGTGATGTGCTGGGCAACTGTACCTGGTGAAAAGTTGAATATATTTATTTTTTTCTACCAGGTTAGTCATTCTATGTCACAGTAAGAGATAATAAGCAAGTAATTACCTGGTGAAGGGCCAACTCCCTCAAAGGGCATCACCTCAGTATCTGGTGGCAACTGGGGTACTAGTGGGCCTTGCAATGAGCAAGAGAGATTCCCAGGCCTGGGAGACTTGTATGATCAGTATGCCAGTAAGGGCTGGGCAGAGTCCAGTCATCCAATTGGGCTAGCTGCAAATGAGCTCATATCTGCCCAACAACTGCATATGAGCTCATACTTGCCAGACTGTGCAAATGAGCTCATACCCATCCTGTGGCTGTAGATGAGCTCATATCTATCAGAGAATGAGTTTAGCCTCTTAGGCTGCATCAGCAAGCATATTAGTCAGTAGTCATTTATGTTAGTCAGCTATGGGTAGCTAGAAAGTATAAATACCAGGTCATATATAGAGGAAAGAAAGGTTTCTGACCCCCTCTGAAACACTACCAAGCAAACAGTAAGGGTTGTGTTAAGAGCTTTGAGTTGTAGACTCAACTTGAATAGTATTGTGGTGACCAGGTCACTTTGTTTTGTGCAAGAACCCCAGAAAGCAACTGAAAGTTTGTGTCAGACAGTCAGAATGGACCTGAGACAGTTCAGAACAGCCAGTATTTGTGTATAAGTCACAACCAGGCACATTGTATCAGTCCAGAAACTGCACCAGGCAGACCATTTGAGATAGATTTTGTTGTGTTCAGTGACACAGACAACTTTGTCCCAGTAAACTTCAATATATATATCATTGAATCACATTCTATTGCACCCTATCAATGTTACATTCTCTATATACTGAGAGTCCAGGTGTTACCATTCCTCCCTTAAACCACATGGTGACTTGGTGTTAGTGATTTCGTGGTGTGCATCTTGCACATTGCTGATTCATTTTAGTGCCACTTCTCAGCATTTCACTGGTTGTGAGATGATAAGCTACAATGGCAGTAGTAGACTTTAGGGCCTTGATTGCCTGCAGATCACAAGCTCACCTAAGACATTGAAATAATGATCCCATACCACTGGGAACAAAGGAGCAACGGAAAATTGATGGCAAAACATGTCCGCCACTGTCTGCAAGGCCACGTCCTCGCTGACGATTAGATACATCGAGCTCTTAAATTGACTTTCGTCTAGTGTTGCCGTGTGATCGAAGTATGCACCAGAAGATGTCGCCAAATAGGACCAAATGATCACTTATAGCAAGCGAAGACGGTTTTTCACAAACGACAGCGACCATGTCCGGGACAGAGCTGGGGGACGACTTCACTCACCCAAATCCGAGCTTTGTTAGCGCACATCGCCGCTGTCGTGAGGTGGAGAAGGACCTCATGGTCCAGGTCTCTCGCAATCCCTCCGATATGGTCTTGCGGAAACAGCTCGTCAATGTTCGAATCATGGGTCATCTCCTGAAAGTCGGTCCTACAGATGCAGCAAAGTCTCATATTTCCACCACCATCAATAGCGAAGCTACTGATGAAGCTCTCATCGCCCGAGGTGCATTCTATGATAGGTTCTTCATCAGGACATGTTGGTTGTATCTTTGTTACCAGGTCATACGCTGACACTTGTCTCTCTAGTTCGCAGGGTGAAGGGTCCTACCCCCCAGGAATCTACTGATCACTCGCGCCCTTCTTTCCGACAGACTCTGGCAGAAGTGCAGAAACAGCTTCAACGTTCTCCATCTGACCATCAAGAGGCGAAGAAAAGCGTGCGTTTTGCCTTCGCCTGAGCTTAACAAGGATATGCGGTTAACCAGATATAACCCCTTCAGGCCTTGGCTCGTGACAATTATCGATGTCTGTTGTCCGGCACCATGGACTTGAACTCATACTTAGATCACGATGAACTCCGAGCACAGTTACCGGAAGGGATGGTACCACTAACCACCTAGTGTGCCCACATCTTCTCTGAGTCCACGAACGTTGGTATGGATGATCCAATGAAGATATTTTCATCGTGTTCTGTTGTTTCATCTGACTTACTCTGTCCCAAGAAAGACTACGCTGCGAATGCATGGACTATCATCAAACATTTTGGATTCTCGAACATCCTCAAGGACCTTGAAGGCGGAAATATCCACAGATTGGAAAACATCTTGACCCTCCAATACGATCTTCATGTTCATTTTGACAATCTCGCTCTATGGTTGGAGCCCACAGTACGTTTTCCCCATTTCCTCCTTTCCCGGCTAACTAATTCCCAAGATATTGAAAATCGCTACAAAGTCGGCACAACGATGGATTACATTTTTGAGTTGAGGATAGTGCCTCGATTTGTTGATTTCACATCTACGCGAAGTGACTTGCCACTACCGTCGAAAGAGTACTTGTGTATACATGCCGCATGCTGCCGTGTGGCGCATATGTCCGGCGCCGTAGAGTATCTCAACTGCCTAGGGGATGATGATCCTTTCAAGTCCAAGGTACGGAGCTATGATCCCGTAGGTTCAGATTTTGGGGATGTCTTGGCAGCGCGGTTGTACGAAGTGAGCGAGATTCGTTCGGCGGCGTCTGTTGGAGCCTGAAGGTTTTATGGTTCATTTTCTAATTGTACTATTGTTCTTCTATAAAAACTGCGATGTATTCTCCGAAGTGAGGGATCACTGCCATGAAAGAGCAAGATGGCTTTGGTACGAGGCTCGAAACGAGGAGACCATAGTATAAAACACGGCGAAAGAGTGAATTTAAAACAACATCCTGATATCCGATACCGAATAAACTGCACAATCCGCAAGGAAAAATGACTGGTTAGAAATGTATGGGTGAGTAAAAAAGAGTCCATGCAAAGATCCAGAAAATAAATGGAAACAACTAGTCACCGCCGAACAGATTAGACTGTCTAGGCTGGGCAGCTCCAGGCAGTGGCGGCGGCAAAGGCATAATAGCTCTAAATGGATCCTCGTCGACGCTCGGTTCGCGAGAATGTCCACTCACCTCACGAGGAGGCGGCCACAAGGGGGGAGAAGAGACGGATGCGAGGCTGATCGAGGCACTGATGCTGGCTTGTTCGGTTCGTCCCTGTACCTCGTCGTATTGTCAAACTCATCGTCGAGTAGATCGACGGCCCCAGCGCGCTCGCCCTCCGACCTGATCTGTTTGATGGTCTCCTTGAACTCGATGCGCCTCTTCCGGGTGCGTTTCTGTATGAATACGACACCGAGGGAAAGGAAGGCGTGGTCGACAGCAGAGGTGGTGACGCCAGCGATGAGAGCGGTGCGGTTTATGTTTCCGGAGCCAGAGTTTCAGTCAGAGGTGGCGAGAGCTGTAGGTATGTTGGTAGTACAAATGGTGAGCTGGCCTGATATGGAGGTCCATGGTCGTAGTGAGAGATATCGTGCTCGAGTCAGAGGTCGTGGTTGTGTCTGTGTGGAAGGTGGTGGGCGCAGTCGAAGATGTTGTTGTGGGTGAGAGAGACATCATCGAGGGAACGGTAGAAGTCGTGGATCATGCGGATGGCATCGCAGACGTTATGGAGAATGTCGAGCTCAACGTGGACGTTGTAATAGCGGAGGAGCTGCTGCTAGTGGTTGTTCTGTAAAAAGATCAGCGCCAAACTCGATGAGAAGACGCCGCGCTCGTAACTGAAGTGACCGTCCCAGTGTCATCTGTAGTCAATACCTGGCCTGCGACAGCGGTAGTCCCAGAAGCGGGCTGCCCCAGCACCGGATGGGGGGAAGGGATTTAGTATGAGCTACGCCTGCCCAACTTGTGTATAGCAGCCGGAGCCACAGCTATTCAGAGAAAAATCGGCAGCAACCAGGGCTGGTGGTCACAACAAGGAAAAGACGCGTAGTTGATGGCGGACGAAAAGTGGGCAAAGTCGCAGCCAAAATTGGAAGGTCCGCGTATTAAGCCACTTGGCGCTCAACATGTCCCTCACTCGCACTGTCTTGCTCCCGGACGGCGCGATGAGCTCAAGAACGGCTGGGAGCATGTCAGTTGAAATACTGATATGCACTGGACAGTGCGTGTGAGGAGGCAGGACTGCATAAATCCACGTGGAAGTCGATTTGGCCAGTTGGTAAGTGATTTGGCTGCATATTTCGTTCTCGTGGTAACGAATTCGTTAGGTACCTCAGGCATAGTGGTAGCCCACCTAGAACAGCTTCAAGGCCTCGTATACGCTCCCTGGCGCTTGCGAGACAAGCCATTAGCTGTGGATGGAACCGACGACTTTTTTCTACCTCCCCAGATGCACGTCGAACCCATCAACTTTCTCTGGGACATCAAGCCTCCCAGAGACAATCGTTCATGCACCAACAAGCATATTTCTTGTAGCACTGACTGTTGTTGCTGTCCCTACAGCCTTCGTTCCCTCGCTGCTGCTGCCTTTCCCCGAAATTCCGGCCATACAACTTGTACAGTGACGACGACTTTCCCAGGACTCCCAGCCCTTCATGGACGGTATTCCCTTCAATAATACAACCCACTGCGACTGATGCGACCGATAATATGGTTCTTGCTCTCATTTTTCTGTCGCCGCCATTGTCTCTTCCCAGATACCTTCCACAACCAGGACTATGGCCCCAACGACTTTCTCCAGGGCATCAAGCGCCCTAGGACCGGTTACCCTATGACCATCAGCACCGTACCGTGCCACAGGGGCTATCGTTACGGTCTCTGCTATCTTCGTATTGCTGCGTCGTGCTGGTTTTGGTGTACTGTGCCTATGTAGGTCCTGTCTTATCCGACCTGGCTTTGCTCGGATAACGACCCCACACAGCTGTACTTTCAGTCCTTCTCGCACAAGCATTTCTTTGTGCATGACGAGCCAACATAGAAAAGATTCGCGCGAGTCAGCAGCCCGCCCCTCCTTCTCCTCCCAAAATCAAGATGAACCTCCCCACGTCGCTCCTCGTCCTAGTTCTCTGCACCTGTTCTAGCAGCCTACTTTACGGTCGAACACCTCGTTCTCATCCCTCGAAGACCTCGCCTCCTCCCACCGCGCATGGATCACTCTTATCATTATCCCCATTATCAGCGACGCCGCCGAACACACCACAGGCATCGTCGGGGCGGGGAGAGGCCAGCTCGATCTGGGGATGCACGTCGCAGTAGGGAGTTCTGTGCAGATAGCGCTAGGGGTCATCCCTGGGGCTCGTGTTGGTGGCGTGGGGGATGGATGGGTAGGCCCCCCCTGGGTATGGCGTTCGATGCGGTACAGACAGTGGTGCTCTTCTTTGCGGTTCTGCTTGGAGATGGGAGGAGTCATTATTTGAGTGAGGTGGTGCTCGTGGCGGTGTATGCGTTGGTGGTGGTTTGGTTTGGGGACGTTCCGGGGACGGGGGGTCGTCGTGCAGGGTGTCGAGGTTGGGTGTGGGGTGTAGAGGCCACTCTCGTGTATCTCACTGATCGTCCTCGCACGATTTTTATATTGTCCTCCTATCTCTCTTCTCGACATGCTTGCCTTGCAACATGGCGTATTTTCAATGCGCCTTTACTCTTTCTTTTTTTCGTTCACCGTACATCCTCCTTCTGTGCCGTCAAGATGAAACTTCATTTTTCCTTTTTTTGTTTGTGAACTTGAAATGCCACGCGGACAGTCGCACTTGTACTTTCATGAGAAAACATTGCATGAAGAATCATCTCGTGAGTATTTTTATCGGTTCTTACAATTGCGACATGTACTAAAGTCCCACTCTGTTCGCTGACTAGAGCGACGTCTAGCATCAGTTCGTGATTATAGCATTATTCCAGCAGCTGAGCAACCTAACCATGGGATTTAACAAAAAAATGACACGGGAAACAGATCCCTTTCCTTGACAGATAATTTGCGCGAGTCGGAAGTGAGTCCCACAATTCTTCGACGCTCGAGTTGCTTACAATCATGGACAGAGGATGGGGCTGGATTTAGGTACAGCGGACTAACAAGATGCTGAATCCATTGAACGGCGATCGTGGTTTTCGTATTAGTATAACGTTAAATGATGCTGCAGACGTGAGTGAATACGGATGTCACTAGATTCTCTGACTCTGGTTGAATACTATCCCCGCTGATATACCGTCTCTAGATCAACGGCAACTATCGTATATACAACAATACACATCAGTACAAGATGACATCTGTAGTCGAAACATCTTATGAATCTATGTACAAAGAAAAGCATGTGCGACAGTTGTCTTTATGTTTTGATTTTAGAAATTATATAGCTCGAGATGAAGCGCGAGACCGCTTTTCCGAAGCTTCTTCAAGTCCTTTTCGTCTTCTGATTCCAAACCATAAGTCCAATTCTCTCCTAACATCCTTAGATCAAGTTCAATGAGAGTGCCGGATCCAAGACATGAGTATCAGTAATGCTTTCCAACGTGATGCCAAGACTGCTCCGGGAAGGGACCAGAGAGTAGCCAGATTCCCCATCCACTAGTACAGCCTCTACCAGCTGCTCTACCAGAAATAAACTACACAACAGGCTTGGTGCAGAACAATAGTGAATCAAGCACTAACATATTGACATTCCATCAAGTTGTTTTAGAGATCTTTGTGAAGAAAAAGTTGGGGAACATTCCGATCGATGGAAGGAGCCGAGGATATCATTGGATGAAGGAATGTCCCTGATTAACAGAGACTTGACATTCAGTGCAACAAGATGGAAAACACGTTTGGATCATCTCCATGGATTCAAAAAAAGCAGAACTTTTTCCACATCATTCGGATACTAGGAATCGAACCCCAAGCTACCGCGCACACTCACAACACTCGGATGAAAAACGGTAACGTCAGCCACTACACCATATCCAATACAATAAATACGTGACTCCATACCCAAATCATTATCCTCCCAGTAATGAAATTTGATGGATAATTCCCCTAGATTGTCAATACAACCATCGTTGAAAACGATCTCATGGCCGTTTTCCGACTGGCGCCGCGTCTCGCCTGTCAGAAGATCAAAGGAGAACGCGGAAATTGGAGAAGACTGAGCGAAATGTTAAGGGATCGTGGAGAGAAACGCACTAAAATTGGAAGGAACAGCGGTATTCCCTCTCCCGGGATACATCAATCCCACTTCCTTCGCAATATCTCACTATTGGACCGCATCATGAATTGCCCATAAAGATAAATACGCGAAATCACATACCCCGGTGACATTGTCACATTTCCTTTCTTGCGGCTATATGTTGTCTCCTTATAATTCTTCGTTAATCTCTCTCTCGATATTCGATGCTTTGATATAAGCAGCAACCGACGGTTCGGGGTTTCCGGTCAATTCGTCGACATAATTGTGTTGTGGCAGCATGACATACAGACGTTCGGACAGGACGGAAGCTTAAGTGCACCTCATACACATTGGCAAGGGTCCATGAGAAACATAGAGCTAGCCCTGAGGGGGTTCAACAACAGCAAAGAGGCAGCAACCAAAGACGTACCTACGTCAGGCCCAGCCATCAACATAGTTAACTACTGGACGTCCTTCTTGTCTCCCGAGTACGGACCGCATCTATGCTGGGGGTCCTAGCCTTCAGGTTAGGTGGGCTACGCATTGGGTCATCAAGCCATTCCTAGGCTCCCGAAAGATATGAGAGGGTTGTTCGTGGATCCATAGCCTAGTATACTTTCAAGGAAGATAAATATGATGAGGCCTGAGCGTCAGAGAAGAAACAATAAAGTGAGGTCCCATGTCTGGCTAAAGAAGAGGTGTGGTACGCATCAGTCCCGCAGTACGTCTCCTACCAGCATGGACGCCGCATATGATCCCACATCCTCCCCATTAGATTTGATGCTCTGATCGTTGCAGCAAACTAGGTCCCGTTAGGCAATAAATTTCTAGCTAAAAAAAACGTACCCAATGGAAATATTCCGAAACAATTTCCCTTTGCTCATACTAGAATCGTTGGCGTTCATCGTAGCAGCCATCAAATCTTCATCGCTAGCCCCTGGCACGAAGCAGACCGAAAACATTCCTCGACAATGAGAATGCGCAACGCTATCCTTTATAAATTAGCCATGAATAAAGCCAAAACATAGCGCTACGTACTTTTGGGCTAACGTTCTATCATTCCTGTTGAAGACATACCTGTGGTGAATCAAGAAGGTAGGTAGAGTAATCTTATATTTCGGGCAACGAAGACCTACGGCGAGGAGTCGTGATTATGTGGCCATGGGGTGATCGCTCAACAATTCTGGAACTGATTTAAATCCTGCAGCCGGCCAGCTGAATAGTTGGAGCGGACATTTCCCAGGCTTCGTTTGAAGTGGTATATCACGTTCGCCCAGTGCCGGACTACCATCAAAGTCCTTTTTCAGAGGTGAGACGGCAGTATTTAAGGAAGAAAACGTAAGATAACAGACCAGAACATCGTACTCATGACTCATATATCCCCTTAAACAGGTAGCGTGCGCTTGGAACGGCGGTATCATTGGCGCAGAGCGGCAGATCCTTAATTCTGCGGACGGGGAGTCGCCATTCTTGCCCGCATGTTCGTGATATGTTGTCAGACTCTTGACCGGTGGGTAGTCTTCGCGTCTCGTAAAAGTGGATGTTAGAGGTGGAGGGCGGGTCCTCTGACTTAACGGCATATTCAGCATCATAGTATTGCGAGGTAAGGAGGATAATGGTAATGGAGTCGAGCAAGAGGGTGCTCTCCCAGGTTGTTTGTGGACGGGGAGGACGGGAAGCTCCCAGTGTATTACCTGATGTTGTATCTTAGGGAACCGAAACAAGTGAACGCATAGACTCCGGCTCACGATGATGGATATCCAGTCCCGCGACTCTGCATATATCCTCCCGAACACCCGCAGACTTCTATGCCACTTGATATCCTCTATCTAAGCCACAAAATACCTGGTAGCCATTGCAGAATAAGAACGCCTAGTACAAGACGATGTTGGGTTCGGACTGAACAGCCATTGAACCAACGCACCTCTGCCGGATCCAACGAGCTACACGCCTCGAGCTTAAAGTTTGATCTTGAGGGTTCGCACAGATTTCTCTCGGGAATGGTGAACTGTTTCATACCAGAAGGAACTGATGTCTCCCATGTCTCGTTTGTTGACCCCCGCTTCGTCGCTATGATCACATCACGCCACGAATCCGGCGCCCTCGTGAAACTCAAGCTAAGCATAGTCGGTTACGAGTGGAGTTCTGATTTGGATTCCAATAACAAGCATAATTTAGTGAAGCTCAGGGCCACCGGTCTAATGGTGCGCTTAACTCTTCTGCGAGGTTTCTACTAAAGAGTTGTTACCCATTTTCTTATTGTATGTAGAGTTTTGTAGCGATGCTTCAAATGCCAATGTCGTTTTGTATGTTGCATTGACCCTGATCGTTGTATAAAATTAGAATAATGGCCTCCGCCGTCAGTCCAGACACGGCCACTGCTCTATTGACACGACACATGTATAACCAATTGCAAGATATGTCAGACTTTCACTGCCGTCTCACTGGAAGATGGTGAGAGAATATCCGAAAAGTTCTCAGAGATTGAGCGTCTGGTTAGCTCGAGCTCTAGCGGTGGTACTCCATGAATGCCATTCGTTCGATGCGAATTGAGGAGCTTCAGCATGAGATAGGTTATTATGTACTTTCTCGCCTTGAGTGATCTTCTCCCCATCGTTCACATCGACAAGCAGATGTCGATGGGAAGGACCGAGATTTGCATATGCGCAGGATAGAAGTCTTTCTATGGATAGCCGGTCAAATTTGGAGTTATGAGTTGGATTCGGATGACAAGCATTATTTGGAGAAGCTCAAGGAAACGAGAAGCACCGGACTTCGATCTGCGTATTTTCTGAAACTTTGCTGCACATGTTCTTTGTACGTAGAGTTTTATAGCGATGTTTAAAATGTGAATACGGTGAGAGAATACGAGGAAATACCTAAAATGCTGAGCATCTGGATATTTTTCTTCACTGTGGACTATTCTGTGCATCGTTGGCTTTCCTCCTGAGGTTCAATGTCAAAACTTAAAAAGTTCATATTTCCGAGACTGTGAACAAAGGATGGAGGAAGCATCCGACTCGCAGAGACATAGTAAAAATAATTCAGTGCGATCCTATGTCACTTTTTTCACCACTAATTGACATCAGATGCACCTGCACAAACTTTTGAGCAACCATTCTAGAAGGACTGCAACCAAATGCACACCCATCTCGGTTTCCACATGCGTCCACATGTGCATGCCATTATCGGCTATCTCTCAGTCATCTGGTCCTGTGGGCCAAAGTGTTACACACTTAAAATTCTTTCTGTAGGCACCTACCGATAGACGATTGAACAGCGCGCAGAGGAACGATATGTAGGCCAAATCCTTCAGGCCTCTAAGCACCTGTATCGACGTGTTTGGTCCCTGATATCGAACTTAGTAGCTCGGCTTGGAGGTCTATAAATTTCAGTAATCGCCGTTCCTCCTTTACACATCGAGATGCATTGAGATTCCGTTGATATATGTGATACGTGTTATGAAAACCTGGACATATGAGCCTGATTATGTGAACTGAGAAACGAAAAGACACCCACACTGACAGGAAAATATCCATGCCATAGTACTCCGTCACATCTTCGCTACGATGATCCGCTGCACCGTTCGGCAAAGACTATGAAAGCGGTGGACCCAGTACAAGGTCTTTCATGACGCTGAGTCAACAACTACGATTTAGTCCACCCCTGGGATGATTCGTTATTGAAGGAGCGGAGAGGAAAGCGCACTTAGAAATGGAAGACACACACTAATTTTGGATGAACATTCGACTACGTCGCCATGAGTCGTCGACTCCACAGAATACGACGGTTTAGTATAAATGTGGCCATAAGAACTTGGGTGCCACCATTGCCTGCCAGTGGGAGAGGAGAGAAAGTCGACGACTAGAAAATTCGATATTGGTCGTATCGGAAGAGAGAGTGGCATCGGGCCATGAATATTGACCGGGGGATAAATTCCAGTACACACTGATGAAGGCCATTTCATACGAGACAAGGACTGGGAGCGAGGAAATTCGATAGTGGTCATAGAGGGAACTTGAAGAACTGTACTCGGACCGTGGGATACCAACGGAGAGCATTTATGACACTGTTTTGTTGACGGTGCTTAGAGCAGCCATCGAAGCTATGTTTAGTGGTGGAGAGGTTCGAGTTGCATAGTACCACAAATTAGAACCCTCCTGTCATGAAGACGCCGGAGGAAGCATCCGGTGAGGACAAACAGTGAATGGCAAGTGCTCACTGATGACAGGACCATCAAGAATAAAAGACCACAGATACGTACTAGGAGGGCCAGCAGATCTAGAAAGAAGGAATACTTATATTGGGTGTGTGTGTATTTAGCTGGTCGTTGAGATGGGCTGCCCCCCGAATGAATCTGAAGGCAATGAGATGGTTAAGTTAAGAACGATGGTCTGAAGACACTGAAAATGGCTCTATCTTGAGCGAGAAACCTAGTAACATTCACTGAGAGTGTTCGAGCTCGTATCGTCGGTGTAGCTTCCTTGCCTGAGATCAGTATTGAGCAGAAACGATGTGAGTTGGACGAGAACACCGCGATGCTGCATTTCCTGATGATGTATATAAGTGTGAAGTCACGATGAGCAAGCAATGTAACTCACGAAAGGAGTCCTGTGACTTTGTGGCTATCCTCCGGATAACAAGCGATACGTGACTAGACATCTATGGCTGGATCCAAGGTAATATTGAGTTTGAAATTGGAGGCTCATCAATGATCTAACACACTGCGTTCATACCAAATGACCTTGACACAAGGCTTGAGTGGGTTTCCCTAGGCCCTCTCCTGGCAGAGCTGACGGACCTATGCAATGGTTCCGTATGGGGGATAATTCATGCGAGCACGAAGAAGGGAGTCGGGCATGAGCAGGAAATACCTCGCTTTCTTGTATAGCTTGCACATTTCCCTGCTGTCACCAAAGAGTGAAATCGATATATTGAAAATAGCTTGCATATGAAGGAGTGAGGTGGGCAGTTACAAGTCTTCTATTCCTGGTCATACATATGGTTGGCTCATTAGAAATACATCATAACTCCTTGCAGAGATGGAGCACAATGCACATGTCCAGTGGCATATCCAGGGTTCTGCCCAGTGTCAGGGACATTGAATTCTTCTAAACAGTAGGTGTCAGAGCATGCTCACTAACAGAGCAGAACATACATACTAGTCGATGGGATCTGCCTAAGCTGTCAAAGAGCGTCATCCAAAGAGTGCCATATGCTCCGATGTGGTCCAAAACTGGGCTCGTTCAAAGTCATCAATTTGTGAGGCATGGAAGACAGGACATGTGGAGATCAGCTTCGCCCACCGAATCCGCGCGCTTCTCAGGATTTTTTGTTTGGTAATATCGTTCAGACTGCTATTTACAACGCTTGAGAACTTACAATGAAATCAATAGGCTTTTTGACCATGGCTACCCGCTCATGTACTCCATAACTTGAACCACTCACACCGCTTCCGCTATGTCTCCCTTTCTTGGCACGCTAATTGACATACAAAAGCAATATTAGTTCAAGCCCATTCACTGACGACCATGGATTCACTGGCGACATTTTGTGCGTGGGAACACTTGACAAGTCTCTGCCATGAGAATCTCCTGCACGTTTCTTTACTGTAGCTATCATCGCGTCTCCCTTCTTTCGTTCGCCAAATGTTCTTCCATTCTTTTGCTATTCTTTTTATTCTCCCCTTGTCACTTCCATCGTCTTAAAACCAAATAGCCACTCACGTACGCACTGCCATGACCACTACTCCACTCAAGTAATCTCCACTCAAGTAATTACTCCTTCAGAGTCTGTACCGCATCAAACACTATACCATGTCCATTCCGATCAATATTTTCCTATAGACTCGGGAGACTTTTACAGAAAACATTCGCCAAAGCAGCGGTCTACTCCAGTACGATCCCTCCTTGGTACATCAATGACGATATATATAAAACCGCGTACACAGCCTCCGCAAGGCTTCCAATCTTTGGGCGTTTACCTCTGAGATATCAAACGACGCCGGAGCACGGAGCGTCAAGCTCTCCAACCCCCCATTCTCAACTCTGTGGGACTCCAGAAACCGGACGACAGCATCTTGGCAATTAACGATGCTATCCCCCATGGCAGACGCATCGATCTCGACAGTTCGAAGTCGAGAAAGGGCAGTCAATTCGGTAAGAATTTCAAGGACGCTTTGAAGGAGGGCGACATTTTCCAGCCCTTCGATCAAAGGCTCCTCCAGATTCTCAAACTCATCCGCTCCGAGAAGCCCCTCACAATCATCCGTGGGGGCCTGCACAAGAACCAGACGCTTTAATGAACATCGTGATCTACGCACAAGGCGCGTAATGCTGTCAGATAGCCCACAAGCGCCACCGAAATTGATTCGAAAGTGCTCAAGAGCAGGTAGAGTGAGACTATTGAGCAGAACTGTGATTGTGGAAGGATAATTGGTATTGGTACGGCATGTCCTGGGGAATACGACGTCCAATGAAAATGATTTGAGGGATGTTGAATGTACGGAATTAGGTACGGGATGAGATGGGTCGAGAGGAGAATGCTTAACATGTTGGAATGCCACGGTGCCAAGGTTGGGTGCGAGCCTGATGAGTGCGAGAGCATCTTCGATGGAGAGAGACCCAGTGACTACCACGGAGTTTATTTGTGTCCATGGAATGATGACGCGGCCGGGATGCAGAAAAGGTCGAACATTTTCGACAATAATCCGACGAAGGCTGGTAGCATTACGCAGCAACGGGACTTCCTCGCGCATTCTGGTAGATCCGTATTCGCTCAAGTTGCATTGGAAGCTAATCAGGGCATCCAGAGGCGGGTCTACAGTCAGGAGATTATCCTTGTCCAAGTCCAAGTGTTCCCATCGATACGATACCGATATTAATATGAAGAGGAATGACTGTGGAATCGGGCCACGAAGTCTGACTCGGAGAGGATGGTTGGCGGAACGGCAGACATGCATGGCAAGTAGCCGTGCTGCCCCCAGGTGTGGACGATCATTCTGCGACCTATGGTTCCAGGTGGAATCGCTTGAGGGCGAAAAAGTCAAGTCGATCTTGGACCACATTCGATGGTACTTCAGCAATACGTGCCTCCAGTTTAAGCAAACCATGCCAAGCTTCCATTGGTACGGAACACCAAGTCGCTGACTCCATGAGTATGCCTCTGAAGGGACGGAATATGAATCCTTGGTCACTCTCATGGTGTGTGCAAATATTTCGCATAAGACATCAACAGGCAAACGACGAACGGGGTTCAAGACGTCGTTACAGCGCTGCATGTTCCAAACCAGACTATCCCGCTCCTGTAATAGCACATCCAACTTTGCTTGCGCATCGGCGATACGTGCCTCAAGGTCGGCCAAGCGCGGCTCACTAGCCCGCTGTGTTTCTCTGAAGAACGCCTCTTGCGCCTCAGACGGTGGTAAATTGGTGGAGAGAAGTGCTTCAATTTCAGGATCTGGAGCAGGTCGAACCAACGGTATACCTGCACACGTAGCACCGCATTTTGAGCAATTATGAGGCATATCGACTACAATCAGGGTGATTACTATTGTGTAAGCATTGACCTAAACGACATATACGTACAGCTGCTATGTGTTTCCGGCTATGGTGTGAAATTGTCTCGATATTGGGAAACAAGACGGGGAGGCTGGAAGCAAGGAGTGCTGTCCACGTTGCGTCAACGAGGCAAAACGAAGTGCGCTTCCCGGACCCGGTTTCGGCAATCCTCGGCAACGCCTCAGATAAGGCAGAGATCTGCAAATCGTGAATGTTTTGTGGCTAACCCGCACGACCGAGAAGTAGACTGAAGACTGAAGAGAAGAGCATCGTTACGCAGGTGATTACCATCGACTGACGGGTATCATTGGTGTCATCGTAGGTCCCGAATACAACGATCGTAATCATTGTAATCTCAAGTGCAGTAAGTGGTATGCTCGGGTTTCTGATCAGCGGCACGAAGAAAGAATTGAACCGAATTGCCTACAGTTGATAAGAATAAAATTTGTGCCATGGGAGTCGTAGAAAATGGTGGTTTTAAGCAAGGCGACCCTTTCGGCTGGCCGGCACATCGACTGAAGAAGTGGTCTTGAGCTTCGCTTTTCCTTTTGTCCTTCAATTGAAACCGTTATCGCTGACACAGTGGATTAGTTCCTCAAGTATTATCATCCCTGCATTCTCGACCAATATATCAAGCCAGCCGCGCTCGCCCTCGCACTTGTCAACAAATGCCGTCACGCTTAATAATCCAGAGCTCCGCCTTCCAATAATTGTTGGAGGATATCCGCATCCTTCTGGAGTTCTACGGCATTCGTTTCAGTTTCTTTTGCAACTCTCAAGACAACAGACTCACGAAGGACCGTCTCCATCTCCCTCCCCTCTTCGTTTCTACAGGCCAGAATCAACTACTGAGGATTCATCCTAGCGAAATGTTTCGACGCCTCGAATCCTAAGCCGATGTTTGCCGCGACAACAACGGTCGCCCGGTTAAGTCGACTGAACGACCGGAGGCATAATCCTGTTTTGTTCAGCAAAGAATTGTTCATGAGTCTTAGGATCCAAGGTGAAGGTAGATGATAATCCTGTTAGAGGGCAGCATGTTATAGCAAATCTGTGACAGAGCAAGCCAAATGTACATGTGTGCTCTCCATCTCATTAGCATCCATTGCATAATGCTGCAATGATGACAGTTTTGATAAGGAGTTCAGTTTACTCAGCAGTCACCAAAGAGTGCCAAAATTGATATACTGACAATAGCTTGCATATGAAGGAGCGAGGTGGGCAGTTACGAGTCTTCTATTCCTGGTCATACATATGGTTGGCTCATTAGAAGTACATCATAACTTCTTGCAGAGATGGAGCACAATGCACATGTCCAGTGGCATATCCAGGGTTTAGTCCAGCATCAAGGATGTTGAATTCCTCTAAACAGTATCTGAGTAGAACGTATGTACTATTTGATGGGACCTGCCTAAGCTATCAAAGTGTGCCATCCAAAGGGAGTCATATGCTCTGATATTGTCCAAAACTGAGCTTGTTCAGTCATCATTTTGTGACTCATGAAAGAGAAGACATGAGCAATTGGACTGTTGCTTGAGAAACAGGAGAGAATGGCCATTGGCACATCATAAACAGCTCAAATCCACCAGAATAGGTTGTTTGAGGTTGAAGGTCATGACTGGACCAGGAGACATGTGGGTGTGAAACAGACAAGGGAAAATAATGGCATGGGAGGTAGGCCTAGATGATTGGACTTTGTTGGAATAGAGGGTGACACCATGGCACAAGGAGATACTAACATTCATTATGTTTTGAATCTAAAGTGAAGGAGACTGCTATCTTAAATGATGGTGATGGTCAGAGACACTGAAAATGACCATACCTTGATTGAAATATGTGGTGTTATTCACTGAGGACTTTTGTGCTTATTCCACTGGATCTTCATCTTGTGGTAGAGGCATATGGTTGATATAGATTCTTCAGATGGTATTTAGGGTGGAACAGAGATATCACATTATTGTAGATGATGATATCAGGATGCTCCAATACTGATATTCCTAGTCCTCAGCAACACATATAAGGCCAATGGTGATGACAACATAAAGTGTAACTCACAAAGAGATACTCAGCCTGAGTTGGACTATATAAATCTTCTCAAACTCCCACACAGAATTGTCTATGTCACTTCACATCCACTGTCTGAGAGCAGAACATAAAAGCCTGCATTGACATAGAACAAGATGGCATCTAAGTACAAGCCGATATTTAGTTCAGAATCTGAGGATAGATATTGATTCAACACATCTCTGCCAGATTGAATAAGATAGACACTCAGACAGCCTATGCAGATTTCCCCTAGAAATGGTGGCCTATTTTATGCCAGCATTTAATGGAAGTACAGATGAGGTAAGCAAGAGTCATTTTTGTACAAGGAGTGCTTTTGTAGGATTTTAGGGAAAAGGAAAAGAAACCAGAATACTTGATTTACTTGCCACAGAGGAGAAGCTTGTCTCAAGACAAATGTGAAGTAGATAACCCTCTGGTAGCACCTAATACCATGATATTGAAAAAGAGAAGACCATGAGTCTTGAGTTGAAGCTTGTATCTATGGATTTTTGGGTTTAAGCCAGCAAGTTTCAGAGATGCTATAGTCCTCTAAAGTGGTCTCTTAGAATGCACATCAGGCAAATTCTTGTGCAGCATGCCACTGGATAGCATCATCTCTCCTCCTGATTCACTCAGAACCTCTCATCCATAGCCTGACAGGAATGTCAGAAGTCCAGCAAAAACTAAATGAGTGAGCACTACTCACAATACTATTCAGAGCACTTGCATTATATAAATCTCCATCAAAATGCCTCAACAAGATATGTCAAGCCCATATTTTGTTTCACTTGGCTACTAAAGTTGGTATAATGACATCGGTAAGCTTATAGCATTCTGGTAGGGTCGATACCTCCAGACCAACAATGCAGAGCAAGATTTCATTGTACATGTCATTCTTGTACCATCCTTCTCAAAGTGCTGATAGGGGCTTTGGGTTGTCTGGATATGGGATTATCTGGGAAGAGGCCTTCTCATAACTCACTGTTGTAGCTATCTTCATTCTAGGGAGCATTGAGAAAGGAGAAAAGGAGAGCAGCTGGGAGATGAACACTAATCTGCCATTCTCTGTTGATGGCCAAAGGAACTTGAATCTGGGGAGCTACAGACCCCTAAGTTCTATCTGAAAAGCAATTGGCAAAGCAAGAGTGTTTACAAAAGAGTGTATATCCTCCATCCAGGAATACATCAAATCATCTCAAGAGAGACCTGTCTAATGGCTCATCAAATCAACAATTGTACTTCTTGCAGACATGACAGGAACCCTTAGCTCCTGCTTGAGGTTGATATCTGTGGTTCTGGTGTTCCAGAAAACTCTTGGAGCAAGTATTTTGTTGAAAATAAGAAGGCCAGTCACAAGAACACTGAAAAGCTGCTCAGAATTAGTTGACCAATGCACCTTGGAATTAGAACCAATGCAGAAGAGTGTATCTTCCAATACCTTGCTTCTGCCCAGCATCATGTACCCATATCCTTTCATTTCAACCTGCTGCCCACCATTGTTGCCACCCTTTACAATAGCTGCACCTAAGCCTCCAGGAGACTTGCCATCTGCCAATATGCCTTCAACATGGTTTTGCTGGGGAGGAGATAGGAGTTCATTGTATTGACCAGAGTTGATAACAGTATAATACTCTTTCTCTTGGTTGATGTTGATCCAGAAATTCTTTGAAGTATTCAAGCTTTGACTCATCAGTGTATTTATAAGACTTATAACAGGTAAATCAAGGTCATCACTGAAGAAAAATTCTCTGCATGTATCATTCCACACTGAAAAACAGAACCCAAAGCCCTCATGGTCCAATAATGATTATATACAGATCCATCATGATTCAGCATCTCAATAATAGCTGAGAGCTTCATCAGAGGAATGAACAGTAGATGGAAAATTCCCATGCACATCTATGAGAAAGATGGGCCAGGTGATAGCACCCAACTGCTGATCTATTGAGCACAGCCACCTACTTGTACTTGGCAGATGATGAAAAAGGAAAGTTTATGACAGGCTCATTGTAAAGGCAGATTCCAAGAGTAGAGAGTGTTTTTGTAGACCTCTCTGCTCCATCCACAATGATGGGCTGCTGGTGCCATCTCTGTTTCAATGGTGATCTCAGGCTAAGGCTCATTCATAAGAGACATCAGTGCCAGTGTCTCAGCTTCATTGTCATCTCCATCCTGCACCCCCAGGTGAGATGAGCTCCACTCTCTCACTGTCATCCAATCCCTAACCACTCATCCCAGGCACTGAGGCTCTGCCTCTTCTTTCTGTTGTCAGCAATCCTTGTAATGTAATCATAACCATCACCTGTGGCAAGTGGCCATCACCAACACAATGCCGACAGAGCAGACAGTCTATGCAGTGCTCATAGAGAATGGCTATATCAAAAATGGCATCATCAGAGTCAAGATTGACAATAACAAGAACATGGTAGACCTCTTAAGGGAGATTGGAAACTGGTACAACTCTATACCAATGCAGAATGCTCTCATCTGGCTGGTGCATGGACTCTTGTCATTGTATCTTGCTTAACCTCCCCTTCAGCCAAATGAATTCCTTTTCTTTGGGCATTCAGCTCTAGAAGCTTTAAGAGCCTGACTGGCAGACTGTAAGCTCAGTGACATCACTACACCTACAGAGTATGATCAAACCATCAAATCTATTGTTGAGATGAGTCAGTGTCAGTTGGATGTGCAAATCAAAAAGACACATATAATCATCAAGATTCAGCCACTGCTCATGTGAGCTAGACCTATATTGCCAGAAGAGGCTCAGCTCAACAACTTCATAGGGATGCTTGCTCAAAGTCTGTCAATCTTTCTTTTATAAGCACATTCCAAATCTTGATTTTTCATATTCAGAGTACAAACATGTTGTCACCAGTGCCAGAAAGTGTAAAAGTCCATCAGTCAATGCTCAATCCCAGTCTTATAACATCTATCAGGGCAACAAGTTCCCCATTCTGAATGGACATTACAATGCAACCACATATGGACAAATGATTGTGCTATCTATTGAACTCTTTCATCCTATATTTGCTCAGTTTTGCACCAACCTTGCAGATACAGAGATTATCATCCCTAAAGATGTTGTTTGTGATACCATGAGCCTCATGCATTCCAGTTCTGCCATCCAGATCTCTGAACAACCACATACCCAGCAGTCTTGGATGTTGCTATCCAACATTCTTAACCAATCCTTTCATCAGACCATTAACTTGGATTGTATATCAGTGGATCACATCTATTTGTGTGGAGACACAACTGTCAATGAAATGGCTGCAGTCATTATCATAGAGGAGAAAAGTGAACTTGAAGCCAGTGGATCAGAGCCCTCTGTCCAGGGTTTCTTCTCCTACCAAATTCTGGGTTGATGCAACTGTAGGCTTCTTACATCATCACATATTGCCACCCTCACTGACTGTACTCTCTCACACTGCATTGGAAAATTTATGAAGGCTGCTGCTGTCTCTGTTTTATTGTTGGAGTGGCAGGACTGTGGCTGATAGTATTAGAAGCTGTGTTCACCAGCCAGGTCATTGTTCAATGTCTTATGGACTATTTGTGGCTTGGAAACAGTTGTGTTTGCAGCAATGACCATGTTCTTTGCATTGCCTGCATACTCTATGCCCTCCAAGGTTCAGTCAAAGAGTTTAAAACTTACTATGAAAACCTGAAACCTCAGCCTCTCAAAGAGAACAAGCTCCATCCTCATTTTTTCCTCTCAATCACCTCTTATTGATTCAATAACAAGGATGTCAGCTTCATCTACAGTTCACTATTGGAATTGGCCAAAACATGTGTGACATTTTTAGCCACTTTGGATGGAGAGAGACAGAAGAAGATTATAGTCAAGTTCATCTAGCATTATGGTGAAGAAGCACACAAACTTTTAGTGGAGCTTTGTCTGGTGCTGGTGCTTCTCTATGTTGGACCAATCGATAGGTGCAGTGTCTTGTATGGCAAGCTACAGATGGTTGTCATGGAATACATATAAGGTCAAACACTCATGCATGCCTATAGCAATGAATCTCTACTGAGGGACATCAAGATGGCTGTCAAGAAGGGTGTTGACACACTTCACAATGAAGACCTTGTTTTTGGAGATCTTCATAGGCAAAATATCATGATTGTAGATGCAACTGACAAAGAGAGTGGAAGTGATAGGGTCAGGTTTATTGATTTTGACTGGGCTGGGAAGGCTGAGGATGTCAGGTATTCTCTTCATTTGGCCTCTTACATATGTGATATCTCTGGCACATTGGAGTATAATCTCATACAGAAAGATCACAATATCAAGATGCTGTGTGCTTTGTGACATCTAGACTCATGGTAGCAGAGTGGATGCACTTGCCCTGTTGTAATATGATGTACAGTCAACTGTGTAATAGCTCATACCTGTATAAACCCATACTCTATTATAACCCATAATTTGGAGCATTGACTGACTTTGTTTGCAGAAAAATGAGGTCTATAATCTTTAACTCTGTTATAACCTATAGTATTTTTGGAAAATCTGCTCTGTATAAACCCATATAGTAATGATATGTTGTTTGATTACAGGTAGCTAATATATAAGCTTTTATCAACCACTGACATTAATGATATATTATTCTATTACAGCATCTGTTCTGTTCTGAACACATTTTCTATTCACCATGTCTGTCTATCTATCTTATTAACTCCAAGAGTACTCACCATCTTGTTCTTCTGGAACTCAATAATATTCATTCTAGAGTAGATATTCTCAGCATAAGCTTTAAACTGCTTGAACACTGCTAGAGCATCACTTTTGTGTTTCAGAAGAGAGACACTCTATATGTCAGATGTAGCACAGATGAATGTTATCCAGTATTGATCACCTTCTGAAATTGCAACTAGCATTTGATCTTTAAGATTACTGTAGACAAGTTCAAGAAGATGTGTTCCTCACTTTAAGAGATCATTAGGGATGTTGTGACAATGCTGTTTTTCAGTGAGACATGGGGGACATATTAGATAAAATAGGGGTTCTGGCTTTTGCTTCATTCCTATAACTAGCTGTTTTATATATATTCATTGTATTGTGTCAATGCTCTGATGACAGCATCACTTGTGTGAGAATGTATCATCTGTGCAGCAGATACTTGTCAAACTTAAGTTTGCTGATTCAGGAAAAGATTGTATAGTTGTATTGATATAACCAATGTTGTTGTTGGTCACAGTTGCAGTGAAATGAACTCTATCATCTTGACATAAAGTGATGTCTGATCTAACAATAGAGATTTCAAACCCTTTTTTAGAAGTGAGATAGTAAGATGTTAATAGATTGTTGTATAGTACTGGTACATGAAGAGTATCAAGGAGCTCAACCAATGCAGATCTCTCTCTCTCAATCTCTGGCTCCAGTATAACTGTCCCAGTCCCTTCTGAGTAAACAACTGTATTATCTGCAAGATGAACTGAGACAATATGCAGAGCATACAAGTTGAACCAGTGATGATGGAAGATCATATGATGAGATGCATCTGTATCAGTATTCCAATGAGATATGGCAGAAGATAATAGATCAGTATTTGCTTGGCTAGCAGTCTCCTTCTTTGCTTCAGTAGAACTTGTAGCTTCCTTTTTGCCAGTCTCCTTTTGCCAATGTCTTGCAGCTATATATTCTGCTGCATGCTTCTGATCACATTTGAGAGAGCACTTCTTGGTCTCACACTCTCTCTCACTGTGGCCTTCATGAAAGCACCATCTGTATGTAGGCTTTGTGCCAGTTGGCATCAGATCTGTAGGTGATAAGAATGTGGTGGCTTTAAGAGCAATATAAATGGAAGGATCACTAGCACATAGCTTTTGACTGTTCTCCATTATAGTATGCAGTGCTAAGGCCTTTAAGAGTAAGTTTGTCAGAAAGGAGAATGAGTAATATGACAAAGTTGCTATATTCAAGCTGATATAAAGCACAGATCAGAGCTATGATGAGCATTTCTTGCTGCAGTCTAAAGTGAACTGAGCAGAGAGCATGGATACAACTCATGATTTGTGGACTGTAGCTGATAAGATCTGAAAATGATTCTTCTGTCTCCTCCTTGAGGTTGAAGAAGCTGTTATAAGCAACAAATTGAGTTGTCAGCTTCTGTTGCTGATAGAGTGTCTTCAGAGTGTCTCACATCTGTTCTGGATTATCAAGACACTTTTCAACATGCATCTTCAGTGACTCATTATGACAGAGATAGATTTGTTGCAGGCAGATTATTATCACCCAGTGAATAACAGCCAGGCTGAGTATGATGGTCAATTGCTTAAAGGCAGTTGACTGTCAACTCAGAACAAAACTGTCTATGCTTATATAAAGTTGACATCAGATGCTTGTGTCATTCTGCAACACTCCTCCTCAACACAATACTTCTTAGAGTTCAAGACCCAACAGCCTGATCATGTGAGTCATCTTCTCCTTTCTCAAGGCTTTGTGAAGATGTCAGCAGGCATGCCTTTTGTGTGAAGATGTTCAATATGTATGTGCCTCTGCTCAACCTCATCTTGTAACCAGTAGAAGTGGAGGTCAAGATGTTTGACATAACTATAATGGTCAGGGTTGCAAGCAACAGAGAGAGCAGACTGATTGTCAATCAGCAGTGGGGATGGCAACAGATGATGGAAACCAAATTCTGTGAACAGATTTTGCAGCCACAGAATTTTCTGTCCAACAGAGACAGC